GGCACTGCCAATGTACTCGGCAGATATAATGTGCACTTTAAGGGCTTTCCTAACTTCAGTGAATTTCAAAGTAGCAATTATCTTCAATTACTCCAGATGAAAGACCACACAAAACGTTAATTCAAATCCCCCTTCTCCCAGAAGCCCCCTGCTATCCCCAGTCACCACTGCCCTGCTTTTTCCCCTCATTAATGCCCAAAAGATTGGACCTACTCTTCCTTGATGCCCACGTTTCCTGATGCGATCGCTCCCTTTCTCACAGCTTGTTTTCCATGTGTATTATAAAAAATCCTGCCTCGCTTCAGGACATTTAAGAGTACTTCTTGCTGGTTTGAAGGAAAGCACAACCCCCCTCCACACAGACACGCTGCTTCTCACCTAATTTCTCCCACTACCTTGATCAGAACAGAAGGAAAACCAGACCAAACAAGTGGGCATTTGTATTAGCAGTTAGAGGTAGCTGCTCCGTTGGATCCTGCTGTTTCTATCGTGCTGTAGGACACGAAGCAGTTGGTATCACCTGAAACCAAAGTGTGTCAGAAGGGTTTTATTACTGAAGAAAACAATGGGATACGTATCAGCACTGCCTTGATTTCTACTAGCTACAGAGAGCTTGTATTAAAGTTACCAGCACTCTTAAGATGAGGGTATTAAACACAAATTAGAGCAATACTCAGCAGCAGAGATGGAACAAGGCCGAAACAGCACTAAGCTGAGAGCACTGGGTTCGTAATTCAGAGAGGAAGGGGTTGGAAGGGACCTCTAGAGATCATCTAGCCCACCCCCCCTGCCAGAGCAGGATCCCCTAGAGCAGATCACACAGGAACAAGTCCAGGGGCTTTGGAAAGTCTCCAGGGAAGGAGACTCCCCCACCTCTCTGGGCAGCCTGTTCAGGGCTCTGTCACCCTCACAGGGAAGAAGGGTTTCCTCATGGTCAGGTTGAACCTTCTGCTTCCCAGTTTATGACCGCTGCCCCTCGTTCTGTCACTGGACACCACTGAGAAGAGCCCAGCCCCATCCTCCTGACACCCACCCTTTAGATATTGATAAGATCCCCCGCAGCCTCCCCTTCTCCAAGCAGACCGACCCATCTCTCAGCCTTTCCTCATGTGGAAGATGCTCCAGGCCCTTCATCATCTCACCGGCCCTGCGCTGGACCCTCTCCAGTAGCTCCTTGTCCTCCTTGAGCTGAGGAGCCCAGAACTGGACACAGCACTCCACGTGAGGCCTCACGACTGCAGAGTAGAGGGGGAGGATAACTTCCCTCGACCCGCTGGCCACGCTCCTCTTAACGCCCCCCGGGATGCCATCGGCCTTCTTGGCCGTGAGGGCACACTGTTGGCTCCTGGTCATCCTGCTGTCCACTAGGACTCCAAGGTCCTTTTCCCCAGAGCTGCCCTCCAACAGCTCAGCCCCCAGATGCATTTACAGGAAACATTAGACTCAGAATGAAAAGCGAGATTAACAGTATGTCGGGATGGTTTAAATCGCAGGTGAGAGAGCTTGTCATCGAAGCTGAAACCCGTGCACGAGAAATCACAACTAGTCTGTCAGCCACGCAAGAGGAACCAGAAGAACTGCTGGCGGGAGGAAATGAGAAGGAAGAACACTCGAATATGTAAACTTTTCATGAGAAAAACACCCATCACTGTGCCAGAGGTCCAAAATCTCAGTATCCACTAGAAATGCAGAACACTTCCCAGAAGTTCAGTACAAGCCTTTTGCACCACTCAAGAGGAAGGACTGCGCTCTGTAACACTTCATAAACCATCAAGCTCCCACAGGGATGCTTCGGTGATTTCACCGCTCCATTCTTCTCATGATTTTTTTCTTCCAGTTTGCTGCGTAAAATCCGTACCTTTGGCTGCTCCACCCTAGATAGGGCTGAGTTTTACAGCTATTTGTCAAACAGCAGTAACACTCTCGGTTTTGTGTTTACAATGATGACAATCCTTGCCATAAAGAACTTAGATTTTAAGAGGCACGTCTCATCCCTGACTCACTCGACCTTGTCTCAAGTAGGGCAACAGCTACAAGCCTGGTCACAGGAGCCTAAAATCCATCACGGGCTGCCAACTGCTCCTGAAGCAGCAGCCTGGGTTTGTCAGACAAAGATCCAGGGAGCTTCAGTTCTCCTCAGGCTCACACATGGTGCTGCTGCCTCTCTTCTGGGGTGAGATGAAACAGGAAGTCCAAAGAATCATGGTGTCAATTCTTTTACTCTATTTGCTGAAAAGCTCCCGACGGCAGGAAGAGCGAGAACAAATCTTTACAAGTCTTGAAGCGGGCAATAAGCGGTGCCACTAATGAAGTGATCTAAGAGGCACCGCAGAGAGCTGCAAAGTGGCAGAAACACAGGAAGGGGGAAAAAAGGGTTTTGAGACAGACTGCTGCGAGCAGAGAAAAAAACACAGAGCCAGGCCTGGAGACGCATTTGGGCACAACACCAGAGCCAGAGCCAGGGAAGATGAGCAGCACAGTAAAGACATTGTGGGATCCCAAAATCAGAGAAAAGGGGGCAGTGACACTCACGGAGATGAGTAAAACGACTCTGGGCACAGAGCCCACCGCAAGAACAGTGCAGGGAAAAAAATGAAAACACCCACGCTGAGGTGGCAGGGCTTTCCATGTCTGAGATGCTAAGAACGAAAACCAAGAGCGGGGGGTGATGCAACGACCTGGGCTCCTCGTTCGTGCTGCCACTTGAGACCCTGCAGAATAGGAAGTGCAAGAAACAGAGAAGTTTGAGGTTTGGGTTTTCTGAGGCTAACACGGTTTTGTTTCCTAGGTTTCGTGCTGTTGGTGCTTCCCGTTTGAGAGAAATCATGAAGAATGTGGTGTCTGTGCCCCTGCAGACCAGGCACAGATAAACTTTTTGCTCTGTCAGAAGCTCACTGAAATACAACACTTCGCATTTCACTTACAGTGGCCTGTTACTTGATGCTCACAAATGTACAAGACACGGAAAACGTCGCTTTTACACCAAGCCTTCCTAGCATAGCTGTTACGACAGCTGTGTTATTTCACACAGCTATTGCTTTATCTTAAATAAAATACCAGGCACGTTTAATCTAGTTGTCGGGGCAATGAGAGGACAAGGTCAAAAAAAGGAAAAGATGACAGGTTTTTAAATTTAAAAGCTTCAACTAAATGAGAGTGGACCTATTCCTCGCAGAAGCAGCGTGCTTTCATCACCTAAACTCTTCCCTCTCCAAAACAGCTGAGCCTTAACATCTCATACTCCGGGGTTACTGCTGAACATCTTATAGTTTATACAGTTCACACAAACCAATTTTAGGTAATTCATGGCACTTGGGAGAATCCAGCATTACAGATAATTTAACAGAAGCTGATCAAAACACTGACTTTGAGAAAAGCCTGATCTGATTCTGTGCAGTTGTGTGCTACTGTTAGCTAGTTTATGCTAACAAGCCCAGATTTGATCATATTAAACCCAAGAAGTCTTTGCCAGTTTCACTAAGACCAAAATGCTGACCTTCAGGAAGTTATCAAATGACACATGGTACAGGCATTCACACCAAAAGTTATTTCAACTCAGAAAGTCTAGGGTAAAAAATTTATGCTGCTAAAAACTGTGGGAAAAGTTCCTGACTCCTGAGGAATGGCTAACCGTGACATGGGCAATACATAAGCTAGTTCTAGGTCTGTAAGCAGGGAACGTGAAGAGTCACTGTTAGTCCAGAAAGTCTTTATGAACAAAAGATATGAATGAATTACTGCAGCTGGAAACCTCTTTTCCCTTCCTCAGAGGCTTTCCCATCACTGAACTGTGAACTGAAACAAAGCAACAGCTTTTGGGGGCAGAAATTCAGTGTCAAAAGTTTAACCCAAGTCTTTGCCAGTCAGAGAGCGGGTCAGCAGCAGTATCTGTCGTCATCTGTGACCACAGCTCCTCTGTCACATGGGCAGAAGAATCCTCTTTACCACATCTCATAAAAGGACAAAGCCATAGTCGCGCACAAATCATAAACATTTGTGTAAAAAGACAAACTGTTCACCCCCTCTTCTGCTCTCAACTTCTCCTTTATTTCTAAGACAGACCCACCAGCATTTTCCCTGGCACTGGAGGAGAAACTGCAGCTCAAGCGCGGCAGGTTTTTTCAATCAGACAGTCTGTAAACACCCAGGACTCACTTCAAAGAGCCCCGCGCACCCAGGCAGGAGAAGCCCCCCTTGTCCCCGGGAGGAGCCGCCAGCCCCTCACATCCAGCAGGAACAGCAGCAGGACACTGCCACAAACAGGCTGGGCACTCTCTTTTTCACACCCCCTCCAGGAAGCCAAATTAGCAGCCACACCGGTGGTTTCGGTCTAAGAGCAGTGGCTTGTCTCTGCTGACGTCAAGGACCTGCTGAGCAGGCGTCTGCAGGATGGGGCTGGCAGCGAGTCCCCCGAGCAGCAGCGGATTTGGGCTGCGGAGAGGCTGGGAGGCAGCTCGGCACACGGTGCCAGCCACCACGAGACATCTCTGCCACGGCTGTAGCTTGGGGAAAAAACGGTCCCTGCCAGGGCAAACATCTGTCGGCGTTGTGCATTTCAACCGCAGCAAGAAACACGGCAATTGTATCATCTGTTTCCCACCCAGACACCATGACACACCCAGCTGAAGAAGATAAAAGAGGTTCGGACAATCAAGACTGCAGGAGCCCGTGGCCATTTGGACTTAAGCTTATTCTCTTTCTGTCTAAATAAAAGTAGCTTATGAATGATGAATGTTCCTCCCCTCACCCCAATGCGTCTAGTGTCAGGCTCCATTTCCCTCCTTACTGTTGTGCTTCCGTATTTGTGCAGGTCTCTCCCAGGGTGAAACTTGTAGGAAACAAAGAGCGTAGCAACCGTGCAGCCGGAGGGCCATGCTGCGATGGGAGGTGAGCTCCGGAGGAACTGAGGCACAACAGCACTCCCCGGCTGCCAGCCGCTCCCACCCTCCCTTCCACCCCCCTGAAAACACACACCTCATTCTCCGTGCCCTCGTCCTTACCTCGTAGGACCACACACACTGCACTCCCGCAAACCTCCGGACGCATCTTCCCACTTCCACGTCCTCGTGGGTGGTGTACATCTCTCGCAGGCACTCGCCGATGTGGGGCACCATCCGCCGCAGAACTTCCCGGCTCATGATCACTCCTGGTCCCCCCATGCAGAAGTTCTCGCCCGGTTCCAGCGCCAGCTTCCCCATCTCCTCCGTGGTGCCGAGGCCAGTCTGCCCAAGAAAGAGGGGCTCGCTGCTGTTCAAACTCCGCAGGAAGTTCTCCAGTTTGTCCCCTTTGATGTAAACGTCGTCATCGGCTCTCATAAACCATTCGTATTTGTCCAAGTAGTGGTCATGCATGTATTTGAGCATCATGAAAGATTTCTTCTGGGGTGGGTAAGAGTCGTCTACACCGGGAAGCGGCACGATGGGGATGGGAATAGAAGTGTCCGAACCCTCGCTCGAGAAGAATTCAACCTTGCCAGGAATGGTTTTGGACCACGTTCTAGAATGGAAAAGACAGTAAGGACTAATTAAGTATGCAAACCAAGGCAGGCAGAGTGCTACCAGAGACCGCTCAAAGGAACTACACTTCATCTGCTTTACAAATTTTCTTTTTAAATGCCTCCAAGGGTTGTTTTTTTTTCCCATGCAAACAAGGATATTCATGTGGCACACAGAGCAATTGGTCTAACACCAAAAAAAATTCTGACATGACAAGCATCTGAGTATCATCTTTGCAGCTGTATCTGACAGAAGAATCCAACAGCAGTAGGTTGCTAGCGGCAGGCAGGATTTCTTAAGCACGCTCAATATTGGTCTAACAGCTATTGGTCATGAGACAGGAGCCAAGATGGGCAAACAATTCACGTACAACTGGATTTAATGCCTCCAGAGCTTCCCTGCAAATTAATCAGTATCATATCCACCTCGCAATCCCCTTAATCCCCCCCCCAAGCATTCAAACACCCGTCCAGGAGTACTGACTTCCAACGAGTAAACAGCTGCAAATTTCACATGAACCTGCGAGGAATCGGTATCCAACCAAACAGCAACTTCTCCAGATGCTACGCGGAGAAGCAGGTAGGGCTTTGACAGCGTTAAACGTGCCTGCCTGTTTGCGAGAAGCACAGAGCGTGGTAGCAACAGCAACCTCAAATGGGTCTGGAAGGACTAGTAGAAGAGTAGTCCGAAGGGATGCGTGCAAAACACGCCATCCCTACAGAGGAGCCGGTGCTACCCACACCCGCGCCTCCAGCAGCTTCCCGCACCCTTCGGATTTCAGGAGAGAGGAACATCGCAAAAGAGGGGCCTCTTCTGTGCGAAGCAGCCCAGCGATGACATCTGCTCCACACCTTCCGTGCTCCTCTGCCAAAGCCAACCCATCTGCGTGGGCAAACTGGGTCACTGATACTGGAGGAAGAGATGTAGGATGATTCCTCAAGGCAGACTGCAGAACATTTAACCTCCACCGGGGAGAATTTTCAATCATGTAACTGTTACAGCCTTGCCCTAAAAATCATGAATATTAAGCTTTCAGTACCTTTTTCTCAAATTCTACCTGGGGAAAAGCAGAGTTCGCTTATCCCTCACAGAAACTCAAAGAAAACTATTTTAATTGGTAAACCAACAACTTTTGCTCCTTCTTGCATAAGGGGAGAATATTTTCTCATTATTTTTGGCAACAATGCTCAGAATATAACCTATACTCAACGCTGAGGGTGAAAACACTCTCAAGGTAAAGAACACAGCATTCCCTCAATGCACCACTGTCACTTTTACCAGCTGCCACTCAACGTGGGTTTCTTGCTAAAAGCAGTGCAGATTTTGGGCAGCACAGACCACCTGAAATTTGAAATCTCCAGGATCAGCTACCATACAAAGTCTGAAATGTAGAAGTATTTCAGAAGAGTTGTTCCTTAAGCACCACCCGGAAACACGAAGGTATTCAATTCATACTAAGTAAACAACCACTTCGACACCTTAGCAGCTACACACTAGTTCGGCTCTGCGTAACGGATATCGCCCAATTACTTTAAAAGCTTTGTCTGCTGGATTTCTTACTGCTGTGGGTAGTGTTTCAAAGGAAGAGTTTAGAACCCAGCTTCCCAGAAAAGCCCAAGGTAAAGCCAGTGGAAACATTCCTGTTGACTTCACAACAGAGGTGATGAGGTCTTTAATCATCAGTGATGAAATTAATGCATGGTACTACTGGTTATAAAGTCACATCCTGCTAAAGCACTGGAAACTGCCTGTTTTAAAACAAGACATCCTCCTATCTTGAACTTTCACTGACTATTAAGGAAGTTACGCTGTTTATTTTCTGACACCCATACTACACGTATCATCTACTACTGAATGAAAAGAGTACTCGGTAAATTGCTCTTCCCATATCAACTCCCAGTCTAAGTTTAAAAGACTTCTGCATTAAAGGTACTTGACGCATTCAAATTTTAATTTCATCGAAAGAAAAGGCAGAAGAAGCTACAGAGAAATGCAGCTCATCGCGTCCACTGTGACCAGCTCAAAATGCAGCTTCGGGTGGACCCAGGACACTTCCCAGCGAATCAACAGGTGAAGTTATTAGGTAAAGTCTTAGGGAACTTTTTGCTTATTGTCCTTTTTATTCAAAAGCAAGCAATGAATCTTCAGACTTGGTCTCCATATCCTGAAAGATCTGCCTCTGTAATGATTACAACCTATGGACAACGCAGGATGTCTTCTATCACTCCAAGCTTTAGCTCCTTTTGGGACTCTTCAGAAGCAGTCTTCAACACTTTTTTTTAGCTACAACCCCTCCTGTTGGTTCCCAGTTTAAATTTACTCCCTGCTCTCCAATCAGGTTCCCACCCCTCGGGACACCCCTAGGTATTGTCCAGATAGTAGTTCCCATTCAATGAAGGTGGATGAACATCCACAAACCCTGGCAGGTTTGACTTCCAGCCTTCATCTGGCATTAAACCCCTTGGCTCAAAGCCAGTCTGGCCTCATCTTTTCTTGGATGTGGGCCATATTTAAGTTTCATACTAAAACAGGAGTAAACCAGAGAAATATCCCTGCATACGTGGGATGTGCAACGTTACTTCAGCCTTGGGATCTCACACCCAGCACAGCTTGACTAAGTCTTTGTTCACTTCCTGCAAGAACGCAACTCCTAGGATGAGACGACTTGCTGTGTCATTTGCGACGGTGGCTTCGAGCGTTTGTTCGAACTCAGACACACGACATAGGCTCCCACATCAAAAAAACTGCCTAAGCGTCTGTGTCAACGTGAGCGCCTGTGTCAACGCAAGCGCTGCTCGGCAGAGGCTAAAACAATGGGAGTCACCATGCGCTGCTCCGTAGGGATAAGCCACAGCTCGCTGCTCCACGTGGCCCCTTTTTGGGGAGAGAATGCAGAAAGAACAGTTTGCTCAGGAAACGCTGCACCCAGCCAAAAGAAGCCAAACCACAGACCGTAAGATGAACTGCGAGTACATCTTTCTGACCTCAGCTATCAGCAGAACCCTGGTAAATGCAGGGATGATTCTCATCAAAGCTACTTTAAAATGTTTTTATCTGACATTGCAAAGAATCAGACCTGGCTCCATCCCAAGCGAGTCTGCAGACTGCCGTGTCAACTGCTACGTTTCTTGCCCATCTCCAGTCCAGCTTACGGTGCCTGCTCTCAGGTGATGGGCAGCAACCTGACCCTTTCAGCTCCTGAGGCACAGAGCTCTTGTCTCAGCACCTTCCTGCTCCTGTGGCCCACCAGCACCCACTCCCACCGGCTGACATCGCTTTCCTGGTTAAGGCTCCTCTAACATAAGGCTTGCAGATTGTATCTGCAGATGAACTGTATGCCTGATCATAAAAAAAGACAAAGAAATACATTTTTAGCAAGAAACCTGACACTTTTCTTTCCCTCCTGAGGGCTTCCCATCACCCTCAGCTGTTTAAAGGAAATGTGGTCACAAGACTTGAGCCACCAGACATACTCCTGTGTCTGTGCCTGCAGAGACCACCTCCCCGACAGCCATCGCCCGTGGCCTCCGCCAGCTTATGCACATCTCAGCTCTGTCCGCAGAGAAATATCAGGTTCTGAATACAACCGATACGTGTACCAAACTGCTCATTTGAAAACCCAGCACCTGAACTGCTCCCACAGATCCCAACCTTATCTCCTCGGTGTAATCTGAATCTGCTTGGTTAAACAGGAGGGTGTGCATGAATCACAACAGCCAGGCTCTCTATTACCCTCCCCTGGAGTGGCGCTGAAAACACACACGACGGCGTGCGACCTGGTTTCTGGCAGTGCATATAGCTCCAACAAACTCCAAGCTCACATTGACCAAGTTAGGTGACGCTTCCTCAGAAGTAACCTTTTAGTTAGGACCGCTCCGGCATGGGCAGCTACCAAGTCAATTTTGCCATCCCGTAGCTGGCTTTGCGCACGGGATATCCTGCGTGTACCCTAATCCGAGCAGGTCACCAGCAAACTGGGTGTCAAGGTTTGTAAAGGCAAAGCTGGTACAGGTACTCCTCCAACAGAGAAAACTGCGTGCACAAAAACAGTGCTAAAAAACAGTATTTCCTAAAAAGTGACTACAGCTTTTTACCAAATGTTGCCATAAGTAATTTCTTCATTTAAAAAGGAATTTTTAAAGCATAGCTTGGAGCAAAAGGAGCAGAGACCTGGAATGTTTTATCTCCAGTTTCCAGTGTTGATTATTTATTTGTATTACCTTGCTTTGTTATGGGCTCTGCAGACTCAGCAGAAGCACAGTCAGCGGAGTTCTGCAGACAGTGCTGCCTTTGTAGAGACCCAAACTGGAGATGATTACAAAAAACCTATTTGTTTTTTTCTCCGCAGTTTGGGAACCTCCCCTAGAGGAGATCAGAGAAACCATTTCAAGTTTTGAGAACTAGTCATCTTGTATAATTATGCTGAAGAAAATCAGAATTTGTGAAGAACTCCGCAAGATAACGGACCGAAAAGGCTGTTTTCTTGAATACACGATTCAGCTAAATTTGAGTCCGAAGTAGGGCCAGTTTTGCGTAAGCCTTCTTCAAGGTCCCATCTTCCCAGCAACGCTTGCTACAGGGGAAGCAACAAACCACAGAGGAGGCCGAACTGAGCATCGACACCAGCACGCTGCTCCTGCACGTGGTACTGCAGATGACCACGAGCGGTCAGAAAAACAAGCTGGTTTTTAAAATTTCCAGACAGGTTTAAGTTTCTCAGTTAAGATCTACATTACAGAATTCAGGTTTTGGGGGCGAGTTCCCTTCAAATGTTTGCAGGACAGCTTGGCATCTAGCTTTACCCGAGAATCCAAGCAGCTTCCACAGCTCCTTAAAGTCCTTTGAATTTAAACTCCTCCAATTTAAAGTGATGCCAGTTTTCTGTCCATGGATATCCACCCACCTTCCTTGTGGAAACAGGGACAAACTGATCCTTCATCCACAGGCACAGACACTCAGTGGGTCAGACTCAGATTAAGGCACAAGCATCCCAGGGGTTCG